CAATGACGTCACTTCATAATCATAAACTTTCTTTAAATTGTTCGAATATTTATATTATATTATATTTGTTTCAATGTAAGGGGGGCTAGTTTCAATTTGTTTGGACATTGAAATCACTCATTTCCTTTGCTAATTATTTTTATGTATAAAAAATATAGAAAAAGAAGAAAAAATATCTTGTCTACTACAAGATTTTGTAAAAGTTAACTAAAGGAAATGAAAACGCCATCTCTCCCGTTGAAGTTTATTTTTAGAATAATTTAAATACAAGATTTTAATATTGTTTATATCTTAATTGATTATCCCTCTTACTGACAAACTCATGACAGCCTACTTTCTCCTATTTTTCCTTGCTTTACAAAAATCAATTAAAGTGTCTGCTGCAAAATCAAATAATTCGACAACTGTTAAAACAGTAGCTCCCAATGCGAATCCTAAAGCTCCTCCAATATCTGACAATAGCATTGGCCATGTATAGGCTGGTTTTTCAACGATTTCTTCGGTTATTAGTGTTGAAAAGAATATATTAATCACAATTAGGTCATCCAAATGGAATTTTCTTGAAGTGAACATATTTTTCAAAGTCTTTTCATAATGTGCTCCAAATCTAGATGATGAGAGCGTAGCAACAAAATTAGTACTCTGACATTGACTTATACAAGGGCATTGTGTAAATATCTCATTCTTATAATAGGCTATGGCCTCATCCCGAATGCATAGTAAATTGTAAGGAGCGCATATAGTCCTATTACCAGTAGCTGTAATAAGGGAATTTCAACCGTCTAAAGAATATTCAATTTCAAATATTGAAGAGAAAAAAAAAACAATTACTGATCATTTCCGGTGATATACAATTGCAATTTTGTTCTATATAACGTGAAAAGCAGTTTGAAGAGCATTGACTAAATCGATAATTCTTATCGTCATTGCAATTTCCATAAGGAGTACCAAGAAATTTGATAACTTTTAAAGCTACGGAGATTAGATATTCGCTGCCATATGATACTTTAATGCCTTTATCTAGCATTTGTGGAGCTTCTTTGGGATCGTGAATTAATATCTGTGTTTGTTGTTGTTTACGATCATTCTCTCTATTTAAAGAGGGAAATTGAACAGCTTACTCGAAATCCAGCTGATAATGAATTTGCTATTAAATAATTCTCTCTTCTTGTATCGAGAAAAAGCCTAATACCGCTATTAGAACCTGTTGATCTTGCAACCTGGTCAAAATCTGTGTGTATAGTAAAGAAAGGGAAAGAGTGAGAGTGAAAGATTTTAAAGATAATTTTTTAAATGTGTACAACTAACTTGAATTAAACTGGAAACATAGGCCCATATCTGTTTGAACTAGGCTGAAATTTACTGAACTGCAAAGTTTCTGCTTGAAAAGGCACTATTGAAGAAAAAGATAAGAGAAAGTTATTGAATGATTAAACACAGTTTTTTAATATACAAATAAAATTGCATCCTTAGCTGTTTGACTGGCATTCTTGTATACTTCTTCCCAATCCCAATACGAATTATTCGTTAAATATCTTGAATTTTCAGTTAAATTAAATTCTAATTTTTGCGTTACATCCGCGTGGAACAGGTGAGAATAAATCTTTTCCAAATCTTATAAGATGTATGAATAATGAATATAAAAGAATTTCTTAATTTTCTACATTCAAAAATATTGAATTTTTTACTGAATTAACCTGTTTTCATTGCTTTTGAAAGATTTCCCGGATGAAAATATCGATTTTCGTTGCAGATTGTTACAGTTGGAAAATTAAGTTTTTTATTTGCAGTGTGTTTTGTTTGGGAGACTGTATCGTATTTTAAGTAGTATATAGTATGATCTTGAACTTGAAATAGCATAAATCCCAGTGCTAAAGATACAAGTAAAAGCCATAGAATTCTCCTTGGTAGTGAAAATCCACTGTCTGTTGTATATTTGACACCAATCACTGTTATACTTTTAGAGAGACTGTAGAATCGAGCTTTAAATATTTGCTTAAATCCAATCTTTCCCTCCTCAATTTCTTGATCAATCCTATTAAATTTCTCAACTGTACTAGACTGTTCACTTTTCATACTTCTATTACTGTTGGAAGATACTTAAAAACTTCACAATTCTTTAGTATAATACAAAACATCATCAATTACTCAGCATTTTTTAATAATAACTGCTTTAACACGAAATTATGCCGCAAATTCAAATTTTCAACATCCTTTGTCATGAGAACAATTCAATTTGTTTTAATTGATTAACAATAAAGCACAGAGGTGGCGTGTATTTTTCATTTTGTAATAATAATTTAGCCTATAATTTATTAAACAGTTTCTGGATTGTAAAAAATTTAAACATTCAAACGTTCTGTTTCTAGGCTTAGAGAATTATTATGAAATTTCCTCCAAAATGATAATTGGATTATAACATTTTTTAAATGGACAGATGCCAACCTCTCACCTTTGTTCTATTTATTAACATATAATATTTAATTAGCAGAGAGGCCATCTTGGCTTACATTTACACGTATTTTATCAACAGTTTAAATGAAACAATTAAATTGATATTATTTTCGTTATTAAATCAACAAAACGCTATCTTTGAAGGCGAATACAAGGAATCACAAGAGCCTCCCTTAGCTACAAAAGCTACATTTGTCGGGGCCGACAGAACATGTTCTCAAGTGAAATAAGGGAAATACCAGTGACCAAAATATCAAATAAGCCATTTTGTAAGCTACAATGATTTTGACGTATTGTTCTTTTACTTGTCTTGTCAATAGGCGTCTATAGATTAATCTAATAGAACTTTAAACTAATATGTAGGCCTAAGCTCTTTTGGATAAAGTACGCTGCAATTAAAATGGTAAATTAGTATTTGGATGTTAAGAACACTTTTCAAAGAGTTTTTAAATTGAAATTAATTAAAACTTCATAATAAAAAGATAATGTAAAAGTTCAAAGTGTATTCTAGTAGAAAGTGTAATATTCCAGTATTATAATGAAGCGTTAGGCCTAAACTCCCAACATACTTGCGTTACAATTCTAATAAGCGAATATAAATATCATTATCAATACAATAAGTTTAGTAAACATAAATAATAATAGAATACAGCAACATGCCACCTTTCTATATCTTTTACAGAATGAGGATTTTGATTGGTTTTGCAGTCTTGTTTCGTTTTCTAAATTATGCGTATAGCCAGAATTATTGAATGGTTCCACTAAGACTCTACTTTCCACAACTTGACACTGTTTAAAAAAAAACAAAGAAAACCTTACTGTTGTTAGGAAATCTTAGTTGGAAGAGTTGTAAGGGAACAGGACAGAAATTTATTGATTTTGATTCTTTTCTTTCTTATAGTCATAAACCCATCCTCTGACCCTTATCTGACAGTTTTTCCTTATTAACTGTCTTATTTTAGATACGAAGACGTTGAAACACTAAATAGAATATTTTTAAATGTTTTATCTTGTCTTACCTCGCCCATTTCTCTTTCGACATCTCTTATATGCTAATTGGAAAAAGGATAAATAGTTGTTTCCCACTTTCCCGCTAGGTGTAGTCTAGAGTACATTAACGTAAAATCAATAATTTTCCGATTTTGGCTAGAAAAACTGTATTTATGTATGTTATTGTCAATATTGATTCAACAAGTTTCTAAAGACAAAAAACTTTGTAAAAAAATCATGATATAATCCATAGTTGAAAATTAATAAGAGTGAAGAATCATGGTGTTTTTCTCCTAAGTAATATTGGTAGTTGATATAGGAATAATTGTACTTTTAAAAGTGAATGTTTTCTTTATAAGGACTCTGACTTCAGCACAACTGATGAGTATTACAAATGAATTTAATACAGGTGGGCATATTATGATTATTTCCATAATTATAGAAATTCCATAACTGACAGATTTTAAATTTGAAGATAATTTTCTCAAACAAATTATGTAGGCCATCCATAAAAATGCAACTAAGAATAATTGAAATAATGTAATTTTAGCTGATTTCGAAACTGATTGACATTTATTCGTTTGACTTTCCATTGATCTGGTGTGTTTTCTAGCCACTTTTAATACCAGAAAATAAAATATTAGACAAGGTATTATGGGTGCAAAAGAAAATCCATAAAAGGTAAAAATAGGTAAGGTTTCTATTGATATTAAACCAAAACATATTGAATTTTTATCAGCTGAAATAATTGGAATAGATGAAATGAAAACAGATAATAAATTCACAAATATCAACGCTATCATCCTTATCTTTGTAGTACAGTAATTATAATATTTAAATGGATAGGATATAGAGAGATATCTACTGACGAATAGGCCCAAAAAATTCAATTGAGATTGAGTGTTCATTGAACCAGGAACGAAAATAATTAAAGCACACATTATGGGTGTCATTTGAATAACATAACCAGCATCCGTACTGATATTGATAAAGAAAAACCACAATACAAGTAAAATATTATTTACAGAAAGAGGCAGGATGAAATGTCCGAAAGATGACCTCGCAGATTGTGATTTTACAAAGAAGAAGATAACTGTAGAAGATAAGAAAAACCCGAATATAAGTTGCAAATAAATGATTATTTTTAATAAAACAAGTTCCGAATGGGTAATATCGTAGTCAATACGAAAACCCATATTTGAAGAATTCATTATATATTTTCTTGATTTTTCTTTTCCGTTTCTAAATTTCTGTTGCAGTTTCTGTGGGTTTCTCTCTCTGCAATATGAATAAGAGTAGTAAAGCAAGTTCATCTGGTAACTATAACTAATATTTTATGTAAATTATTTATCGTCACTTTTATCATTAAGCATCCAAGAAGTAATACAATAATGTGATTGAAGAGAGTGCTTGAAACTAAAAGTTCATTGTTCCATTGTAAACAATACCCTATATAAATATATAAAATATATTGCAATAGGCCTATAAGACTAGCTAGCAAATTGGGAACACTTTCTAGAATATTACTCTAAATGCAATGCACAACCTAATCCAGCATGCAATTGTACCTTTGAATTATTCTGCATGTAACAGTGATGTAAACAGCAGCAATCTGTGCTTTTGAAGGTACTATTGTTAATTGTATAATGCTGTCATTTGCTATGAGTATAACATTTGTTTCTGTATAAGCAAGTAAAATAAAACAAAAGACCCTGCTATATAAATAGATCACTTGATATAAAGTTATAAGTCTTTGAAAGAGTAATTACGATGTTTATTTACAATACTGGCAAGTTAAAAACAAGTAAAATGGTGAGAGACAATCATCATTTTATCTGACAAGGAGGACACGGTTTTCAACAGTGTATAATGATCAAATTTTGGCAAAATAGTCTTGCTAATTATGTATCTTAAAATTCAAATTACGTATAAACTTTTTATTTGTTTTTAGTCTTGACAAAACTGTAGAAATTTTCTCCATTTTCCTTGATATAATCAACAGTTGCAGTCTGTTTTGTTAGAGTAACGGCGACGAAAGCGTTATAACGATTATACATTTCTAATGTTGCATTCCATTTCTTTAATTCTTCGAGATGGTCAGGTATTTGAATAGTTGGAATTTGGCCACCTCCACCACTTCCTATATAGTCTACTGGATCAGTGATGGGACCTTTAAGATGTTGCATAACGTGATCGTGTCCAAAGATGTAGAAATCAACGTTATTTTCAATTAAGATAGGTCTCATATCGTTGATCAATTCAATATGATTACCGTGAAAAGATGTTGAAAAAATAGGATGATGAGCGGCTACAATATTCCAGTCAGCTTTACTATCTGATAAAGTTGAGTTTAAAAATATCAATTGTTCTTGTTTATTTGATGTAAATAGCATAAACTCTGTGTCAACAATTACAAATAAAACTTCCAGACTGTTAACCTTCTTTGTAAAGGAATAAAAGAATTTTGGAATATTCCAAAGAGGTTCAACTTGACTAAAATCAACTTGATTCTTCCCATTGTCCAAATAATGATCGTGGTTTCCAAGTACAATTTGCCATTCAACCCTTAAAGATTGATATGGTTTTATATATACCTGAAATTAATAATGATTAATTCATAGCCAATAATTTTGCAAACTCTTTATACAAACATCTCTCCATTTTGTATCAAATTGAGGATCTGTAACATTATATGCTCCAACTGGATAAAAATTATCTCCTAATGTTAGAATAAAATCCAGACTATTTCCATTTGCCCAATTAGCCATACTGTGAGCAACTTCTAATTGGCCATTTAATTCGCCAGGTTCTCTATCAACACCCCAATCGCCAATAGTAATGAATTGCAGTACATCTTCACTACAGTAAATGGATTGTAGAGCAATAACAATTGTTAACAATTTAAAACTGTGAAAAGAGAGAAAAGTTGAGAGAATAAAATTTTGAGCAATGAAAATATTTTCACTCCAACCTGATCATATTCTAGATGAAGTAATTATATTATTATACAAGAGAGTATTTATGTTTATTTTTATATAGTTCAAATTATCTATAAATACATTATCTTCTCAGCTGTTCATTCCCAGAATATGTCAAATTAACTACTACAAATGAAAAGATTTTTGAGTCATATCATCTTTAACTATAGTGCATAAATATCTGCTCAAATGTTTATTATTAATCACCGAAAAGTTAACTATAGGTCTAATATATTATGCCTATTACCTGTCCTGCCAGTTACTACTTTTTCAATTGGTATAAATACGAATTAAAAGGATGTCATAAAAAACGTCGACAAATTAATACTTTCACCCCTAACCCTAAGCTAACCCTCGTGTTTGCCTAACAATTTTCCGTCACACTAACCCTCAGCTTAAATCTAAATTAAAACGGAAATATGACAAATTTGCTTATAACATTTTTTCGATATCTAGAGAAAAAAAAAGACTAGAATTCAATTGTTCAAACAAAACTGTCTTTATAATGAAGTGTAGACCTCTTAGAAAAACTATTTGTCTACCACAACAGATTGTTTAGGTTGCAATCAAAAAAATTCTCCCATCGTATCCCAATTAACAGTTTTAAAAATAGATTAAAAAGCTACTCTGAATGTAATATGCAGTATTTCACTTTATATAGAAACACCTTTCTCCCAATGTTAGAAAGAGAATTTTCTTTAGTTGTGTATATTAGAATGGGAGGCTATGAGAAAAGAGCAAGCTATATATATTTATAGTAAAGAACTGTTAAGAATTTTGCTTAAGGGCTAAATTTTCTTTTAAATCTAAATGGAAAAAGAGCTGAAAATAGACTTTCTGTCTTTTTGAATAGTCTCGTTTTGTATTATTAAGCTAAAAACCTCTAATGGACACTTTTCTGTTGGAACAAACATAATATTTCTACAATTTCGATAATATAAATAAAGTAAACAGACAGAAAAGGATATAAAAGGTTGGTAAACAGGATTTTTCAGAATTAATATTGATAGATTATTTTAAGAACAATTTCTTAATTTTTTTAGAAAGTTAAGAGTTGACATTAAATTATTGGGAATAATTATAAAATCAAAAAGTTTTCATTGTTTTTATGATGTGAAAGGAATGTTCTTTTCTTTAGAAAAATTCAAAACAACAACAACTTGAATATTGTAAATTCAATATAAACAATTTTTTTGGTATAGAAATCTGATCAATATTACTATAAAAATATTTATTCTAAATTACTTGGCAACGTGTGGTTTATTGACATTTTGAAGTCTGCGACTCAATTTGCGACTGCTCAATTGCAAGTTAACAATTTATATTTATGTTTAAATGTTCTTTAAAATAGTTTATTTTTACTATTTCAATCAATCATTACTACCAGTTTATACTTTTTGGAAACCATTCTACAGGTGAGAATTTTTACAAACAAGACAAACATTTCTATTTGAATTCTAAAGTGGATTTTCTATTATCGTTTTAGCGAATTATAATATGAAATATTAATAATAATGGATTTTGAAAAATTAAAAAAACTTTCAAGTTTAATAGAAAACTCTTGGACTAATATAATCAATGATAGAAAAAAATATGTTTTGGAGCAGTTTGAAACTAATCAAATATTTCGGGAATGTAAAACTTCAAGAAATATTAATAATATATTCACACCTGTTCAATTAACGCCTTGTCAAACTTTTATAGATAATATAGATTTTAGCAATATTAAAAACTTTCAAGAGATATTCATTGATGGAGGAGAAAGAATTTTAATCTGTGGAGATGCTGGAATAGGTAAAACTTATCATTCAATGAAAATGCTGTATACATGGGCTTGTGAGGAAAACTTTCTCAATGATTATCTTCTCTTGTATGTCAAACTAGGAGATATAGAGAACAATGTACAATTTGAAAATGTTCTATTTGCAAATAATTTTAAAACAGGTTCATTATTGAGTGGTGATCTTTTAAAATATTTTCTCACCTATGAACATATGAGTACCAGAGTTAAAATTCTATTATTGTTTGATGGAGGCGATGAACTAAAACTTGAACATTCAACATTCAATTTAATGTTACAAAATAAAATACATTTAAACTGTCCAATAATTGTTTGGTCAAGAAATATAGCGAAAATAACAGAATTTTCATTTACTTATAATTATGTATTAAATATTCAAGGATTCCATCAGCGTCACTTGAAAAATTATTTCCATAACTTTTTCAAGCAGTCTCCGGCGTCACTCTCTCAGACTAACGGAAATTTTCAATGTTTAATGAATGGCAATGTTGAAAATGTTGAAAATATTGAAAAATCAGAAAGTTTATTTAAATTTTTAACTACAAAAAAGAAAGAACTATTCAAGTTGTGTAATAATCCATCAATGGCTTGTATAATTGCTGGTCTATGGCAAGAAAATCAATTGGAAATGACACTAGATGAATATACTATATATGAGAATATAATGCAAATTTTCCTCTCTAAAAGGGGTATACATTATGAAAGTGAAACTTACAAAGAAATTTTAGATTATTCATCTAAAATTGCTTTTGAAAATTTACTTTATAATAAAAAAATTATAGAGAATCATATTATAGAAAGATCAGATTGTATAGGTGGAATTCTGAAACCTTTTAATTCAAGATCAACATGCACAAATCATCTTTATGAATTCACATTTATACATTTCTTATTTAAAGATTTTCTAGCAGCAAGATATATTATTGGTCAATATGAATTTTTCAAAAATCATTGCCAAAAGATTCACTCAATAGAGGAGGCTTTTGCTGATTTTAAAAATCTATTCCTATTAAAATATGCTTTGGATTTGATTCAGGAAACTAATTTGGAGATATTTAATGCTATTGCTAAAGATAGGAAAGAAATTTTTGCAGTATTGGAAACTGATGAACAAATTATTCAAGTTATTAAAAGTAGAGATTCGCAATTGGTTCAACTTGAAAAGATAACATTAGAATTGACCTTATTTCAAGTTATCCTTGATCATTATCAATACAACATTACAGATATACATTTTAAATACGTCAATTTAAATCTACCTTCTTTCATGTATCTTTGTAGAAGGTATTTAAAAAACAAGTTGGAATGTTTAAATCTATTTGGTGGTGTTGAAGATTCAACTCCTATTCAACATCTTTACGATTTAATATCCGATATGAAACATTTACAAGTTTTAAGCATTGCCAACATCTATTTTGAAGGCTCTGTATATTCACCATTCTATATAGAAACTTATACTCTACAAGAATTAACCTTAATTAATTGTAATTTGAAAAACTGTTCATCAAATTTCTTCAATATGAGACTTCAATGCCTGAATAGTTTAAATTTGTCGCATAATCAATTTACAGGTATAATTATAATTAATTTTGTATTATACTCAATAATATTCTCTATTCATTTGCTGAACAGATGAAAGTCTCAACAGTCTATTTGAAATGTTAGAAAATAGTAGATATTTATTATTTTTAAAGTTGTCACAATGTCCTTCCGTTTCGAATAGAATAGATAAAGTTTTAAAATTTTTACAAACTTCTATGAGAATTTCTTCATTGAGCTATTCAGAGAATAGAATTCCTGGCCAATATGGTTATAAATTATTCAATATCTTGACTGAAAAATTTACCAATATGACTTGTATACAAATCAATAATTGTGCATCGGAATTTGATTCAAATACTTTTAATCATTTTTTGGAAAGAAATAAAAAACTAAAAGTTTTGGAATTAAAAGGAAATTATCTAAAAGAAAATAACAATCATTCATTTTTAAAAAATCTAATGTTATCCAATTCATTGGCTTATCTATCACTTCCAAAAATTGATAATCGGGAGCAGAACAGCCAAAGTAATACTTCAATATTTGGTGATGTTGTATCTTTATTAGATTTGCAAGCATTAGATATTGGTGGAAATTCACTTCAAGATGCTTTTATACAAGAATTTTTGATAAAAGTCTTAAAAACTTCAGAGAATTTACAATATTTATATTTATATAATTTAGAAACTTTTAAAAAGAAAATAACTTATACATCTCATTATATAAGCAATTTTGATGAAAATTTTCAAGTACAAAATCACAAGAATAAACAGGAAACTAATATAAACAATCATTTTTTAAATAGAATAGTACAGTCTCTCGAAAGGAAATCTAAATTAACAGAGTTGAATTTGCAGAATAATCCTCTTGGAATTGATCCTGGAAAGAGGTTATTTGAATTTATTATTTACAATTGTCAAGAATTGACTATATTATCTTTAAGTGACTGTCAAATTGATCTTAACATTGGACATCTTGTTGGTGAAGCTATTGGAAAGCAAACTAGACTGGTTCAGTTAAATTTACAGAATAACCCTCTAGGAACGGCAGTTGGGAGTAGTTTATTTAAATGTATTAAGGAAAATTGTGCACTACTGGAAGAGATATACTTAAGTAATTGCGAATTTGACTCAAATATAGGAAATGTCCTTGGGGAAGCAATTGGAAGACAATTTGGACTCGCAGTACTAGATTTGAGTAAAAATCCGCTAGGAACGGAAGTCGGAAACAGTCTCTTTGCAAATATTAAGGAAAACTGTACGGAATTAATAGAAATTTACTTGAGCGATTGTCAATTTGATTCCAAGATTGGTAATATTATTGGTGAGGCAATTGGAAGACAATCTAGGCTGATGGAATTGAACTTACAAAATAATCCTCTTGGAACAACAGTTGGAAAGAGCATATTTGAAAATATTAGGGACAACTGTACACAATTGACTGTAATAAGTTTGAGCGATTGTCAATTTGACTCGAATATTGGAGATATTGTTGGTGAAGCAATTGCAAGACAAACTTTGTTGGCTCAATTGTATTTGCAGAATAATCCTCTTGGTTCGGCAGTTGGACACAGAATATTTAAAAAAATTAAAGAAAACTGTACAGAATTGGTTGTCATCAATTTAAAAGATTGCGAATTCGATTCAAATATTGGTAATATTGTTGGTGAAGCAATTGGAAGGCAACATGCGCTATCTCAATTGTTCTTGTATAAAAATTCTCTTGGATCAGAGGTTGGAAAGGGGATATTCGAGAATATTAAAAAAAACCTTACACAATTAACACTAATTTGCTTGAACGATTGTAAATTCAACACACACATTGGTTCAATTGTTGGTGAAGCAATTGGAAAGCAATCTACTTTAAAAGTGTTGAATTTAGGGAATAATTCTCTTGGAACAGATATTGGCAAATGTTTATTCGAAAATATTAAAGAGAATTGTAAAGATTTGGAAATAGTGGGTTTAAGAAATTGCGAATTTGATTCAAATATTGGTGTTATTGTTGGCGAAGCAATTGGAAAACAAACTAAATTGGTAGAATTAAATTTACAATTCAATTCTCTTGGAACAATTGTTGGAAAGAGTATTTTTGAAAATATTAGAGATAATTGCAGACAATTGACTGCAATATGCCTAAGTGATTGCGAATTTGATTCGAATATTGGTACAGTCGTTGGAGAAGCAATTGGAAAACAAAGTAAACTTGCTGAATTGAATTTACAAATTAATCCTATTGGAACATTTGTGGGACATGGATTATTCAAAAGTATAAAAGAGAATTGTAGGCAATTGGTAGGAATTTACCTAAGTGATTGCGAATTTGATTCGAATATTGGTACTGTTGTTGGTGAAGCAGTTGGAAAACAATCTAAACTGAGTAAGTTGAATTTAGAGAGTAATCCTCTTGGACCAATTGTTGGAAAGAGTCTATTCCAGAACATAAGAGACAATTGCACAGAATTGACTGTAATATGTCTAAGCGATTGTCAATTTAATTCAGAGACAGGCGTTATAATTGGTGAAGCGATTGGCAAACAGCCAAATTTAAATATGCTATATTTACAAAATAATCTTCTTGGAACAATAGTTGGAAATAGTATTTTTACAAATATAAAAGATAATTGTCAACAATTGAAACTCTTGTATTTAAGCAATTGCGAATTTGATTCGAATATTGGCGTTGTTGTAGGTGAAGCTATTGGAAAGCAATCTAAACTTCACAAATTGAATTTACAGAATAATCCTTTTGGAACAATTGTTGGAAAGAGTATATTTGAAAACATTAAAGAGAACTGTACAGAATTAAGAATAATATGTCTAAGTAATTGTAAATTCGATTCAAATATTGGTACTATTATTGGTGAAGCAATTGGAAAACAACCTAAACTCAATGAATTGGTATTATATGAAAATTCCCTTGGCTCAGCAGTTGGAAAAAGTATCTTTGAAAATATTGATAATAAATGTAGAGAAATGACTTTAATATGTTTAAGTGATTGCAATTTCGATTCAAATATTGGTATTATTGTCAGTGAAGCAATTGGAAAACAATCCAAGCTCAATAAATTGTATTTACACAATAATCACTTTGGACCAGCATTTATAGATATGCTATTTCGACATATTAATGAAAGATGCTCCAGATTGAATGTGCTATATTTAAGTAAAAGTGAAATTGAGTCGGATACTGAATTTGATTTTATATGATTTATACATTATCTTCTTTCAAAGATAACATTTAATTGTCTTGTAGATTATCTATACAATTCAGTAAAGACTAATGTTAATAAAGACGCCATTTTTATGGTGTTACTTACACTTTTAATAGTTTTACATTGATTACTCTTATTCAATAAATACTTTCCTTTAAGAATTTAAGATATCTAGATATTTCATTTACACTTATCAGCATTATTAAAGATAACGATTTCGATAATATTAAGAAATTACGCATTTTAAAAATGTCAAATTGTGCAATAAGAACAATTGAAATGAAATCAAAATTCAAAACACTTGAATATCTTTACATAAACCAATCGAATATTCATTTATAGAATCAAGGATTAAATTGAAAGGTCTTGAAATTTTAAAGAGATTTATGGAGATAAATTCCAAATTTGTTGTCGAATATTATTTTGGAGTTTTCGTATTGTAGGCCTAATTGGAAATATAATTTCTTTTTACTTGAACGGACGCCATTTTGTATAACAATAATTTTCTGCATAGTGTTATCAGCGCTTCCGCTAACTCATAACAAAAGTCCTATATCTATAATAAATTGAATTGAATGATAAAAATGATATTATCCTACTTGGTAATCTTTTTAATCAACTTTTATCTGAAAATCATCCATGAAATTGGTGTTTTCTATCCAATTTCTTTTTCATTTTTTTGCATATTCAAACAAAGAAAAATTAGTTTTTAAAACAGCACTTTTTATTAATAATTAATAATAAAAATTAAGTGAATATATTTGAATTTTTAATATAGAAATATTTTCAAGCTTATTTTCTAGACAAGAATCATGTCACATTCTCAGATTGAAGTGTAAAAGTAATGGAAAAAGTGCTTTCAAACTACAATTTTTGAACAGTTAAACGAAATATAACTCGATTTCTTTTTAAATTTTTAAACAGTGTTCTTTAATCTTTCTGTAAAGATATTTTAGAGTCCAGAGACGGATTAGCAGACTAATGGATTATATCAAGCCGACTTCGCACACCTCAACTGGAAAAGTTGGAATGGTATTCTTCAGAATTGTAATCATTATCTGCCCTATTATATCTTCATTTTTTCTACAATCAAAGTTATATTTCCATTTATTATCGCCCTCTAATTGATTTATTGTAGAAAGAAAGCAAAACTTTGATTGTTGAGTACCATCTTTCGTTAGAAGAAAGTAAATATTTATAGAGCTTTTATCAATCAGTTGATAGTTTAAAATAACTGAAACCATATGTTTTATAATGCCAAATACGGTTTTCTTTTGTTTAGTAACTACTAAAGTATATGGATATTCATTAATTGACAAGCATGTAGTTAAATTGTGATCTTTAAGAATATCTAAAGCATGTGATTGAGAACAGGAGTAAGAATGTAAAAGATTTATCTTTAAATCACTATTTTTTACATTTTCTAGACTATTGACTCTAAATACAGATATTCTCGAATCATCCGTATTACTTACACCAATTTTGATCACGTTATCAGTTAGTGGAGAATTTTCAGTGTAGAGAATATCTACTCCACGAATTCTACCTTTACCAAATGTTACGCCATATGCGCTTAACGAAATCCAAAAATCTTTCCAAGTATTACAAGGTAAAAAATGTTCACTTGAATTTGCAGTTGCAATTACATGACTCAATTTCCCATCGATAAAAATTCTTGTTTCCCACAAGCTTCCATTCGGGATCTTCATTTCAATTTTAATACTAGTTTGTCCAGTTGCATTCAGCAATTCAAAAATGAATGAATGGCATTGTTCATTAGCTGAAAAATTGAGTAGTTTAACACCAAAGCTAATGAACGATAAATCAAGAATCTTCGAAGGAATGTAATAAATTTGTTGAACAGTTGATTGTATTTCGAATTCTTTAGATGAAGGATATTCTGAAAGAAATTTTCTACATGAATATCTCATCAGAGTGTTGAAAATATACATTACTATGAGAATAAACTTGGAGGTATGCCAAACCAGGATTTCCTCCATTTTCAACATACAACTCTTTAATATATAATCCAAAACCGGTTTCAGTAGAATGTCCTTCATATTTAAAGCATTTTCTAAGCTTATTTTTCGGAAAATGTAAAATTTGTTGAAAACCTGAATTCCATTGAATTTGTATTTTAGAGAATAATGTTAATCCTCCATAATCCCTAAAAAAAACAATAGGAGATTTAATAGCTGATGTTTAGTTTTCTTATTAAAAGAAGGCTTCCTTTTACCTTCCCGAAATGCATATAATTTCTGGTTGAATTTCAACTGGAAAAGTTAATTCATATCTTATATTGTAACAACTTGATCCATTGCAGTGCATTGAATAGTCACTTGAATAATTGATAGGATTATCGTAATTTAACGCATTTTCGCACGGATAACCAACATAGTGTGGGGCTGAACAAGTTGAAATTTCTGCAAAATTTGTGTAATGTAAATCTTCTTCTTGAGCAGGATCGTCTAGGAGAAGGAAGAGACAAATTAGTTATGAAATGATGAAAATGTTTTCAAGTGAATATTACCACTATAAGCGTATGCTATAATACTACCAATTCCCCTCTCCACAGATCCGTAGCCTTCAATTAAAGAAACTTTAATCCAGTTTGTTTGTTCACCAACCCGATCTGGTAGAAGGAAACATTTTTGAAATTTATTCGCGTCCAGTTTATGAAGAGAATTTCTTCCATTGCTGTAGAAAATGTTCACTTTCTTTAATAAAAAATTTGCTGTTGCCAATCTTTGTTCAATACAGATTTCAGCAATATCGAAGGTTTGTTCAAATATAATTTTAATAATGGATTGGGAGCACATCTGATAAGTTGAGCAAAGTGATGCCCAATCCCTATGATTATACCATTGCGGTTCCAGAGCATTTTCACACGTATAGTTATTACCATTAAGACTGGCTTTCATATCACTAACGATGCAAGCTCCTCCATTTTTAATCCTACAAATATTTATCATTTTCCCGCCTGTATGGAAAGTAAACTCTATGTCTTTGCACTTATGTATAGTATAATAAGAAAGTAATAAGGACGAGTACAAACTGGTTTGAAAGGAGTGAATAGGTCCAATCAGAAAGGAAGATAACCAAATCCAGAGAAAGCAGCTCAGATTCATAACAGCAATTTTTTCGGTAAAGAGATAGGAAAGATTAAGAGAGTGAATAAAACTCGTTGTTTAAATGTGCAAACACCTTAATGGACAGGGTAAAATACTGCAACAAATAAATCCATTAAAAGTAAATTACATCAGCAGAAGAGGGAACACTGTAAAAACATAAAAGCCTATACACAAGTGGCATTCACAATTTTTTCTTCTTCTCAGAACTCTTCTTTATCTATTTAAGAACTATTGTTCAAATATTCAATGAATTCTCACTTATAACTTATTTTTATTCAATTCTCCTCTAATGGAATATATCAATTATTTATCTTTTGCTCAACTTATATTTCAATTTTGGGGTAAGAGTTCTGAAGTAAACTTTTGATCTTGTTTAAGGCCGTCGATGAACGGGATACAATTGATAAAATCCTATGGATTATCCCATTAAGATCCCATAAAGTATTTCTCTTAGGAGGTTTAAATTGTTTGAGTATTTGGGAAGCAATCTAATATCAATAAATGGTGTTTAAACTGTTAAATATAGGATTTATGATCATATTTATTAAGATATTTATATTCAAACTGGTCACAATTGCGTTTGTATGTCTAATGAACAATAAAAATAATGATATTATGCTTTTAAATTATAAAATAATAATTATTCTACTCTATTCAACTCGTTTTTCAACTCTCATAAATTCTCGTAAAAACTTCAACAATTTCGATTATTTTCTATATTTTTCTATTTATTATTTTTTAATATTTACAGAAGATATTGAAAATTTTACAAATTTTGGCCATTTTGATTCGTTTGGCAACGATATTTCAGAAAGATATAATATAGATGATATACAATGTGGGAAAGTTTGCTACAAAATAGTTGCTTGTCAACTATTTGTTTATAATTTTATCCAGAATCGTTGCTTTCTTAAACATACTGCTAATGCACCTTCTCAATGGATTTTGAAGAGCAATTTAATCTTGTATATAAGAGGTAAATAAACACTTTTTACATCAATATTTTCATTCATACTCGTAAATCGATGACATAAGCTTTACAAACAATAACTCATATATACTATATATATATATATATATGTAGTCGATGGGTGCATCGCCTAAATTTGGCAGCGAGCCAAATTTCCTTTACGTTACTTTATAATTCGTTAGGTCTATATATTTTAAACCTAACCATATTTCATTATCCTTTATCATTTTCGATACGTTATTACGTATTATTACTGTTATATTTACTAGTATATACCTTAAATCTTTAACGCGTTGTATTAGTAAAGTCGGTGGAAATAGCTATAACCTACGTTCGCTACTCATTCATCGACTACATATATATATATTATGGTCACCCAGAAAGTTCTCGCCGTTTTGCTGTAGTTTTAAAACGGTACACTGTAGGCCTATATTTTTTCATCATCAATAGAAAGTGAATTGATTAATGTACTGTCACTAAAAACTTTCTCAACTTACAATCCCTGGTTCAAAAGTTATTGAGACTTTAGTTGTGGCACAGTATGGATGATGGTATAAAGCAGAGAGTAATTATTCAATTTCTTGTATCACAACAAGTTATTGCAATCAATATTCATCAGCAATTGAAAGCTTTTTTTGGTAGTACACTTAGTGAAGGTTCAGTAAGAAGGTGGGTTAGAGAATTTAAAGAAGGAAGAACAAATATTCTTGATAAAGACAGACCAGGACGCCCAAGAACAGCCAGTAACAATGAAAATATGGACAGAGTTATGGCTCTAATCAGAGATAACATGAGAATAAGCCAGGCTGAGATATCTCAAACATTGAATATAAGCCATTCAGTTGTTGAAGATTTGATTGCAAGTCTTGGATTAAAAAAGATTGCCTCAAGATGGATTCCCTACCAATTTAATTGGGAACAAAAAGACATAAGGGTGGAAAGGTCTACAGAATTCCTAATAAAAGTATGGTGAAGAAGGAGAGAATTCACATATTTGAATAAATTCAGAAATTTACATCAATATTCTAAAGCGATTAAAACAAAGAATAAATAGAATCAGGCCTAATAGAGAAGTGATTTTTTTGCAAGACAATGCCAGATCTCATACCAGCCTACAAACAAGCCAATATCTTCAAACAACTGGATGGGTAATGCTGCCTCATCCAGCCTGCAGCCCAGATCTCGCTCTATCAGACTACTAGCTTTTCTAGAAATTAAAGGACCATCTTTATAGACAAATATTTGAAAATGATGATGAATTGAAAACAGCAGTAAGGGCATTTTTTAGGTCTGAGCTGCCTGAATACTTTGCCAAAGGAATTGATATGCTTCCAGCCTGGTGGCAAACATGCATTGACAAAAATGGGGAATTTGAAGCTAAATAGACTATCTAAGACATTAATATTTATGAATAAGCATATTTTGTAATTTTTTTAACTGATGGATAAAACCGGTTATCAAATCATGTAATGTAGATAAAAGAAGATTTGTGGAGGGCAGTAGAGGAGGAGTTTCATCAAATTCCAAATTGGTATATTCAAAACTTGTTTAACAGTTTTCATGAGAGACTCAGACTTTGTATCCTTTTAAACCTGAATAGTGTTTATACTGAGTCAACTGAGGTTAAATGATGGTTTTATATGTGGTTATCTATTCAAGGTAGTGAATATAAAAATTAAGGTTATTTTTAGAAATCACATTTTGAAAATAGAGTGGTAACTATTCAATTAATTATTATAATTTACATAATTATTTAATTTTATCCTATCATTTAAGATATTTAGTATTTTGAATCTCTAATTCATTTCAAGTAATTCACTGACAACTCAGTTTTAGCAAGCCCGGTAAACGTCATCTTCTAGTATTAGCCTATTACTAATATGTTGTATTAGTACAGATATGTTGGTTACGTATAATTTCAGTTTTTTTCTTTTGTGTTTCCTATTTATGCTATTTACTCAGAGAATTTCCAAAATGTTCTCAGTTGAAGCTGTTTCCGTGAAAAAATATAATAATATCTGCTTAAAAGTACAATGTGAAATAGGTTATGAACCTTTACCTTGCTCTGAAGATACTACTATCCATGGTTGTAGAAAATGTCCGTCAGAAACATTCAACGACCAAAGAGGGAGAAGATTTCTCATAAAGAAGGGAAAAGATTTATTTTGGGAAACAAAGAGCTGCCGTAAAAGGTTTGATAATTAAAATTCGAATATAAACTGGTACACATATTTATTAAATTTACAAGACGAAAGTGTTTAGGACAATTTGAAATGGTGTTTAAAAAAGGAAGTTTTAAAAGAAATACAGAGTGTAACTGTTCAAAAGAAGGATATGACTATAGTACATTAGAAGAAAAATGTGTAAAAGTAAAAGTTGCTGAGCAAGGTAAGTAGAAAGATGTAATGAATTATGTTTTTTCTCTTTAATTTCAATTGTATTGAATTTTTTAGAGGACAGTATGTATATTAACTTAATCTCTATACTAGTTACCTTCATCATTTTGGTACTGGTCGCAGTACTTTTTACAAAAAAAAGAAGTAATAGTTTGTGCAGCATTCATTCATTCATTAAAGTAAATTTATTAGGTCTAAAGATGATTTTTATTAGACAGAGATCTTTCATCTTCTCAACGTTTCCTTCTAAGTAATCATTATAAAATTCTAATGAAAAAATATTAATAAATACGGCTGTTTTTTCAGAAGAAATAAGGAGGACGGTAGATATTCAATACTATCCACAAACTCATACATGATTTCACTATCTAAGAATAGCTAACTAACTCCAATTCTCTCAATTTTATACTAAATTTCAACTTCTTTCCAGACATTAAATACTGTTCACGTCTCAGAGGAAAATATTGATTGTANACATTTCAAGAACGTCATCGTCAATCCGCTGAAAGACATGATCATTTGAGACAGTTTCGATATTATGATTATTCCAATGTAAATGAATTTGTTCATCATCAAAAGTACTTCCTTCAAATTCTATATATAAATTAGACTCCAGTTGAACTCTCCATTCAAAACGCGATGATTGAACTGAATTACTGCAATTAGCCATTTCAAGCAATATTCTAAATTTTGTACTATTGTAAGAGTGAACTTTGACACCATCCGTGAAATACAATGAAATTTCCTTCTCATTTTCAACCTCATCAACGTTGAAACTTTTAAAGAAGGATGTAGGCCTAAAACACCTGCCAAACTGATTATTCTGTTAAAAAGATAAAAAAGATAATAATTTTGATTATTATTATTGAAAGAAAAATATGTAAATATTTACCGGATGTTGCGGAATTATTCTTAAAATTGCGCAATCGTTATCGACTATATCGCCATAAACATAAAATTTTAGTAGATCTTCGCTTTCTTGATTAACTATAATATATTCACAGAAACTGTTGAATGAAATTTCTATATAACTCTTATGCCATTTAGCAATCTCTACTTTATCATATTTTTCCTTTTCCTTATGATAAACGCAAATATTCTTTCTACTCGAAGACAGAAATGGAATTCTAAGTGAACACATTTGTTTAAACCTCTGTCCATCGGGTCTACAAACTATAGATTTAACAAACAGTTTCTTAGTCCTACATCGTCTTTTCAACTTTAAAATTTCGTCGACTGTCCAGATTTTATCTGTTAATGAAATCTCTACAGGAGATTCTGTTGCATTTTCAGGAAAACTCATTTCAGCGAAAGGACACTTTAACACCATTGACTTCATCTCATACAAACAACGACAGGTAGAACTTTGAAAAAAGTCTTTGTTCAAGTCCATGATAATAATTTCTAAAGATTGCAACGAGGATTTTGGTTGCGCCATAGACATTTTTAAAGATCCTAGCGATTTGGATGAAATACCGGAAGTAGAAAATTCATACTCAAAATTCAATCCTAAAAAGCTATGCAAACCAGTTCTACTAAGAATGATACTATCTACTTTTTCTTTTCCAGTAGATGTTTGCAGGTGGAGAAAAAAGCGTAAATTTTCCTCTTCTTTAGGCAATTCAAATTGACGAATGACTATAACATTTGAAGTAGGCTTTTTGTTTCTTCCTGTACAAATTGTGAAAGTTAAATGGCCATTGATACTCTTATCCGTTACGATGGCCTTTTTCCTTGTAACGAAAAGGAAAACTGCAGATGAATGTTGACATATTTCTCCTGTCTCGTTTTGATATTTTATTGGTTCATCATTTCTGTTAATTCTCTTTACGGCTGATTTTTCTAATTTTCTTTTTCTAACGTTATTAACCTTAGGACGGGATTTGCAGTTAGGACTAATGACTTTGTAAATATTTGTAGTAATTGATTGATTGTTGTCCATGAAATGTGCCATTTTCGTATTTTCTCTTTTAATCAATATGCCGAACGGTAATAATAGAAATATTACTAGATAAAAGATGATAGAAAACATGGATTATGCTAAGGATAAGAGAGAGAGAGAGAGAGAGAGAGAGAGATATTTTAGTTTGTACTCACGTATTAAAAAGGCAGCTTTAAAAAGTTAATACAGCGTGTGCTTTAAAATCGAAAAATTGTGTTATAGGTTGAATTGCCTTCTTCAACAAGAAATTCAAATGATCCTGGACACTTTTGTCAAAATCTATTTAAATAATAAAAACTTTACTAAGACCAAGTAAAATTTTGGCTGTTGACATGTTTTTTTTGGTTCATTAGGCCTAAGTGTTTATCTTGTAAAATTTGCAATTCTTTTTAAGTAGTCATTATTTGGCAGAGAGTCAGTTTGTTCTTGGTGTTTCCACAGAACAAATTCAAAATGGCTGACCTGAACAAAAATAGCGTCTGTATGTCATATAATAAAACAAAAATTAATTTGTTCATTTCTTGATTTTCTCATGTCAAATAGTTACAACTATGTCCATAATTTCCCACATAATGGGTACGATTTCACCCGCATTAATTTTTGGCCTAGTTCTTGACCTATATTTGTGGATTGTGTTGAAAAAAATTATTCCTACACTTACTAGTTTTTGCGGAAGGTGACTGCCAACCTTTTGATGAGATATTTCGGAAATCAATAACACTTGAGAGTGGAAAAATGCCTTAAAATTTGTCGACTATTCTCTCAAAAGACGCAAGGTTTTTAGGTGGTTATAAACCTCATTATAATATGTTTTAGTGATTATAGAAATGTTTCGAACCGGAAGTTTTATTTAATAAAATGACTCACTAGATGGGGATCAATTCATTTATTTATACTAAAATTTATGTCTGTCTATTAATCAATAATCAATGAAATAGACTCTGGTGGTTTTACCTGGTAATCATTATCATATAAGGTGAATAATTTCAAGAGTTTCTCTACTTGCGGATACATGTTAAACTTTGTAACAAGTTCCCTTTCGCTGTATTCTAAACTGTATATTAAATTTTTTCTCGTAATTTTCTTCCAAAGATAATTTCTAATTTCTTTTAAACAACTAAATCTCGATAGGCGTAAAGATGGAATTCCTGGAAAACTTTTACAGCAATTAAAGAAATTTCCACCTCCAATAACGCAAACAAACAATTTAAAAGTCATTTCTGAATATTTATCATGCGCCATTTGAAAAATCATTTTTTCAGTAATATAATTAAAATGAACAGAGTGAAGAGGAGAAGTTTCGTTAAAAGTCGTATCAGATATATTTGTCCAATTCAGCAAAATTGTCTCGAAATCTTCATTATTTTCCCCTAATTGGAGTGAGAAAGTAACCCGTCTCTCAGGATTAAATTTTTCAATGATTTCTTCTAAATTGAAAATTTCAGGACTAACCGAATGAGGATAATTCTTACTTTCTTTCTTTTCTATCTCAAAGTAAACGGTTTTAATTTGTTCAATCTGTTGACTTGCATCTTTATCATGAGATACTAATGCAATTTTTCTTTCATTTTCCACATCAACATTAAATTTTTTCATAAACGATTGAGGTACGAAGCAAGTATGGAATTGATTTTTCTGAAAATGTCCAATTTATCGTTTTATATTCATAGTTTTAATAAATTTTCATTTCCCTACCTGAATTTGAGGAGAAATTTTTAAAATCGCCTTATCTTCGTCAACTTTATCACCGTAGACATAGAATTTTATCATATTTCTTCCTTCGTTATTGACGATAATATATTCGTTAAAGTCAGTAATATGAATTTCTATAAAGCTAGCATCCCAGATCACATTTTCAACTTTTAGCAGACATTTATCATTTTTATGATATACAGAAACACGTTCAGGCATTGAAGACAGAAATGGAATCTTTAGCATGCACACTTTGTTAAATCTTTGTTCATCTGCTTTACATATTAGATGTTTAATAAATATTTGATCATCATTTCCTTTTCTAATATTATCTATATCAGGAATAGCTTCGTCGTCTTTGTAGATTTTCTCATGTAATGAAATCTCTACCGGAGAATTTGTCGCGTCGTCGGGAATACTTAATTGAGCAAATGGACATTTTAAAGTAGTTGATATCTTATCATACCAGAAATGAAAACTAGGATTTTCGAGTAGATCTTTATTCAAATCGATATCAATAGTTTTAAAATTATCCACTGACGATTTCAGTAGATTTATTGATAGTTTTAACGAATCTCGTGAGCCATCTGATCCGCTAACATTGTATTTGCGAATATTGAAATTGTATTGAAACGTTTCGACTAATGATAGATCAAGGCGAGTTCTATCAATAGAGATTTCTTGTGTATCATATTCTTCATTCGATATTTGCCGATTGATTGAAAAGACTAAATTTTCAGCAGTACTGGATAATTTAAAACTACGAATGGCTATGATGTTGGATAATTGCATATTTTCTGTACAAACGTTAAATGTTAATTTTCCCTTAACAGAACCATTTTCCTCAACAGTCAATTCATTTGTAACAAACAGAAGAACTTGAAGATCAAATTTGCTCTTTTCCATTATAAAAGTTTCTTTAAAATCAAAGAAATGAATTATTGGGATAATGTCATCAGTCTTGGATTGAAGTTTTACACATATACCAATCTTTTTCTGCAGTTCAGAACTAGTTTGACAAGTGACAGTAATTTTCTGACAATCTTGTTGAAATTCACTTTTCATGCTAACTGTTAAAAAGTCTTGGTCAAGATATGATTTAACATCGTAAAGAAAAATTCCAGACGAATGCCGAAATATGCCGTTATTTTCTGATAAATCAATATTCAGAGTCTTTTTAACAATTTTACTCCCATTGGAAATGTTTGACAATTCTATATCTTTCAGCAGAGATTGGCTTTCGCCGATCATCGAGGCTTTAAAAAAGGAACTATGTTTTTAAAAATTATTATAGGAAGATATTCACCTTCTCCTCCTTCTTCCATCATTGAGGTTTCAAGAGATTTGCATCTGCACAATTTTTTTTTCGCTCTTGCATAATATAAAAACAAGAAAACCATAAAAACCACAAATAATATCATGAGAAGTAAAATGATTAAAATTTGATAAAGGTGTGTTGCTGTTGAATTAAAAAGATGAAAAAACGAGTTTGAGCTATAAGAATATGTTCAACTTACACGATTCATTATTGTTGTCTTCCACTTGCAGGCATTTGTTTAGATCTATCCTATATCTGTAATTGCTGTTTGTACAACTGCACAAAGTGTCTTCCTTGGAATTTCCCTCTTTGAGGACAGTCTCAAATAATCCATTACAAAGTCGTCTATTTCATCAATTGAACAATGAAATCTATTTACGTTTTACGTGTCTTTATTTTACAAACCTTTCACGACATTTTCGAATTAGCCAATAAGATTTGGATAATTCATCAATTAAGATTCTACTTCCTTGTATGTCGTTAAAATATCCGGGTCTACATTCTCTGCACGAATTGCCAATACTGTTATTGTTGCAGGGAGACGGTTCAAAACCTACATCGCAGACTATTTGTTGGCAATTTCCTATTTTTCTTGAATTGGCTGCGACTGATTGAAATTGAATTCTTACTAAATGTATCCATAGTAAAACAGCCGGAGACATTTCAATATAATAATTTAGACATCAAAAATAAGAATTAATGTCTGTCTCTTATAACCATTGAATTTATGGTTGATATTGAACAGAAGTAACAATTACTGCGATTCATATGAGTGGTTATAATTCAATTTTTAGGGAGCATATATTATTCTCATAAATACTATTGTAATTTATTAATTTGGAATCTCCCTAAATATTTTTGTCTAGTGTTTTTTTTTTATTATTGTGAAAAGCAATACTTGATTATTCAAATTTAACTTTTAAACCTTTTCCAACATCCTTTAGTAAGTCAGTAGGGTTTTCTTTCAGCTCTACTTCCTCATTTATCGTTAAAGCTTCGTGGCTTACATTTTACGCAAGAGTCCCAAGAGCTATTGGTGATGGTTTATAACCAATTTTGCAACACAACTTCTGTCCAGTTGTGATCATTTTTGTTTTCCAAACAAAACTTTGTTGCTGATGGTAAATATCTTGATGGTATCTGTAGCGCCATCTGTTATTAAATAAAGTCATAATAAACAAACTACTGGTTATAAACATTTACTAAGTATAATATCTCTTTAGATTGCATTTAGTAAAGTAGAGAATTTCCTATGGTTATTATAATCATATATAACAATTCAAAAAACTTATAACCATAGATTTTATTGATGTAACTCTTTTTTTTATACAACCATATTCGGACGGGAGCCATACGATAATTAGAATTTCACTTAAGAAATGATAAAGGTCATTGAATATTAAAAGTATAGATAGAACAAACAAACAAATTTCGTCCATCAGATAAAGTTTTTATTTGCACTTGTATTAGCAGGACCTCAGTACAGTGGATGAATCTGTTATCAGAATTGGATCATTATCTGAATGAGTTATATCAATAGTTTTTCTCTCCAAAGAATCTGAACCATGCTTCCATTCCCACTTCCTTTCTATGTCATTGTTTTCAGAAGAGCTTGAGAATTCATTTAGACCATGATTATCATTAGTATTGTAACCAGTATCAGGTTTTATAATTTCTATATCTGAGTCCTTACTATCTGAGATTTCTGATGGAGTGCCATGGTTTAGGGCACGTTGTTCCATCATTACTATACTGACTTTGCTTTGTTGAGGTTGCCTTATTCTTTTAGCTAGGTTCCCTTTCCTGCTATCAAATTGCAGACAACAATGTTTTGCTTCAAAATTAAGGTTTGCTCCTACACTTTGTAGGAAATCAAAACCAAATATTATTAAGGTAAAATGATTGGATTGAAACAGTGAAGACTTAAATATTTGTAGGTTTGTCTCCAATATCCAATCACCACTTTACAGTTGGTGAAAAGGAATTTGAAAAATCTCTTTTGGATAAGGTGTTTTGCAATTCCAAAAATTTCCGACAAAATAGAACTTTTTTGAAAGTTCCATTATTGAAATTCGCAAATATAGACACATTACTTATTTTTTTGTGTACAATCAGTTTATTATTCATGAGTAGTATTCAATATTGTAATTAACACTGAAAGGAAACATCAAACGGATACGACAGAAAACATCCCCAAATGCACAGTTTAACCCTAACCCTAACCTAGCCCTTGTCTCTCCTTAACCTTTTTGATTGCTCCTAACCCTTAGATGGAACCTCCTTAATTATAAATCAATAGCTATTTTACTCCTCTTAACCAGTTTTCAATCCGAAATATTGCTTTCAAAAATCTCATTTGGGTACATTTTCAATCAGCAGCAAACACATGGTTAGATTTATAATATCGATTAGTAGCAGAGTGATTTATTCATCCCTCTTCATTGAAAATATATTTCTTTTTACATTAAACTACTGTTCTTTCCATTCTATAATATCCCTAAAAATATAATTATTGCAATTTTATTAAAATATATATAGGACTACTAACTGTATCTCCAAACATGAATATTTTTGTACCATAATAGGCTTTAGCAGCAATATAACCCCAATTTTCATACAACTTTTTAGCTCTTTCATTGTGATGTGCAACTAACAAACATACTTTCTATAAAGAAAGAAGATGAATTTTTAAATAATCAACTAAGGAAATCTAACTTTTAATCCTCTGCCTTTTGCTTCTTCATCAGCAGCATTTAAGAGAATTTTCCCGATACCTTTGCCCCTGCACTGGCTATCAACAACTAAATGATCAATAATACATTCATCATCCTTCATTGTATATAAATATTCCAACATTCCAGAAGAGAGAATAACTTTAAATACAGATTTGAATGATATATCTGCACGATAATTGCCATATTTCATTGGTTTAACACTAGATATTTTTTTGTAAGAAAGTATTATGTTCATTCATTTTAAAGTGAAAAAAAAATGTACAAACTGTGGATATTTCATTTGACAAATTCCAACAATTTTTCCATTTTCTTCTGCAACTAATGTATTTGGAATTACTGTCTCAGCAACTCTAAAATCGTGAATGAATAATTTTCTGACTTCATCCATCTCTTCTTCTCTGAATGTATATTTCCATTTAAAAGGAAAACCTTGTAAAAATAAATCCACAATTCTCTCAATGTCATCATCATTTGCCTGTCTGACTGTAATATTAGGATTATCTATAATCTTATTGGATTTTACTATTTGACAATTTTCATCAATATCCAATTGCACAGTTTTGAAAAACAATTTAAAAAACCACATTTTGTCTAAAATCTTAATATTTTTGGTGAAAATATCTTTGAAAATGTCTTCTTTAAAAAGTTTGGATACAACTGACTACTATTTCAAATTTATAGCCAATAGCAGTTATATGGTACAGTTCGCTTTTTTCAGGTCAACCAAATCAATAGAGCTTGATAGGCCTAGTAATTTTATGACTAATACTCACGTGCCTACTTAATATTCTATATATCTCGTTTTATAAATTATTTTAGAATATATATTTCTTTGATTTTATACTCTTTTTTTGTATAGTGGAAGAAAAGGATTAGCAAAGATATGGACAATACAGTTTCTGTTGATTATTTAAACATATTTCTTACATTTTTATCAGAATTCGTAAATTTCAAAAATAGGATATCTGGCACTTTTCACGATTTTTTCAGAAAAAACGTATTTTTTGTTATTTAAATAGTAAAATACAAAAACTTAATTAATTGAATATGTTGATTACAAAGTCACAATTTGACATGTCGAATTATTGGATTGTAAAATTAATGTTAAGGAAAATAATTTTAATTAATATAGAAAATAGCTGGGTGTTCAAAAATAGGTTACCTGTACTATATATAGTGGTCGACAAAAAAACCCGGACACCATAAATTTTGATAGGCCAAACATTATAAATCTTTTTCACCAGCAAAAAAGATTTTTTCTTTTATTTTTCAGGTATAAAATAGTAGTTTAAAGTTTGATATATACGTGAGTTTCTTTTGAATATCATTTAGATAAGTTTTCACATAAGTGTTTTTGTTTTCTTATTATCCATTTTTTGATGATTTTTTTTCTTATTTGGCCATGAGACATTATTACTTGGACGATGGTTTGGGGATTAATATTTTTATTATTTTTGAATATGACAACCCTCATTTGCAATACATTTGCTAATCCTACCTCCCATCCCTGCATATAACTTTGGTAGCAAGTCAGGATTTTGACTTATAACCTGGTATGAACATTTTTTTATTATCCCCCACAGTTCATCCCCAGATTGAAATTGTGCCCCATTGTAAACTAAATTTTTTGTCAGGTGCCACATATTTTCTATAGGGCTCAGGTCAGGGCTCTTTGCTGGCCAATCAATTGGATTGATACCATTCATTCTAAAGGCCCTCCTAGTTGCTCTTGCTGTGTGGCAGCCTGTGTTATCTTGTTGGAAGATGTAATTCCTGCCCATTTTGAGTGATATCTCTTCAATGACAGGAAGAACATCTTCCACAACAAAACAGCTATAATTTTGGGCAGTCAATTTTGTGACTTATCCTCCAAACTTCAAATACCCCATCTGAGGTTATTAATCCCCACACCATCACTCCACCTCTTCCCATATTTTTAGTGACTCTAAAATTTTTTTTCACCATCTTTTGTCCATGTCCTGAAATCATCAGGCCCACTCAGAGAGAATCTGGCCTCATCTGTGAAAATCACTCTTGACCAGTCCAGATTTTCAGCAATTGTTTTGAGGCAGTATTCTTTTCTTCTTGCTCAATCCTTAGGTGTGAGATCAACTCTCTGTCTAATCCTTTTATAATTATAATTTTGCCTCTTCATCTCTCTCTGAATGGTCTTGAGACTCACATAGACCTCTAATTCTGCTAAGACCTTTCCTGCTGTCACCCTTTCCTTATTTCTCTTAAGTCTCTTTACTATTCTTTTTATCCTCACTATGTCTCTTTCTGTTAGCTTCTTTGTACAACCCCTGTTCTCTTGTTGTGGTGGCTGATATCTCAAAATGTCACTAATGGTAGATGGTGCCATTCCCAAAGCCCTTGCAGTTGCCCTAATTTTTCCCAATTCTTCGTATTTCTTAAATACTAGATTCCTAACCTCTTTACCCCATGCCATAATTAAGTAAATAGAATTTAAAGTTAACTACAGTAATTAAAATAGATCAAAAGTGATTACTTAACTTTGAAAATTAGTTTGGTCAAAAAAAATTTCTGTTTGGGATGTTAATTTGAATCCAAAACTGGAAACAAAATGGATGTGTGGTTAATAACGTCTCACAGCCAAATATAGAAAAAATTAATTAAAATTAGTAAAAATGTTTTTCCTATTAATATTCACAATATGATAATTTTGTCATTTTTTTTCAATATTACAGAAATATAACCCTTTATCAATGTAAATTGCCTAAAAAAACTAATTTCAAACTAAAAAACATATTTTTGGGGTGATTTAAAAATTGGCCTATCAAAATTTACAGTGTCCGGGTTTTTTAGTCCACCACTATATATATAGTATATAACTCTGTGTGTGTGTATGTGTGTGTGTGTCTTTCAAAAGTTCTGGACTATTAATTATTTTGAATAGTCTTCTGGCATCATCAAATACTTTAAAAGACTTAAATTTATCAATGTGTCCGCTAACAGATGACTTATTGTTAGAAATTGGGAAAATGCTGGAAGAATTTCCAAGATTTGAAATTGTAGATTTGAGCAGAAATACAGAAATTAGTATCAATGGAATATTAAGTGCAATGCATAATTTTGATAGGAAAGAGCAGTACAGTGTATGTAATAGGTATGATTGCAAAATACTAGACATTTTGCTGTAATTTGAAAATGGCCCCAACTTATAATATTGATTACTTTGCAAATATATCTCCAAATCTGTAAACTTTCATTAAGAAAACTTTCATTGGGTTCTGTCAAGCCATTACAAAATTATTTTGGTGCGAGCAACAGTAAGTCATGTCTACACATTCCTAAACTTAACCCTTTTACGTTTTAGTATATTTTAACTAGCTTTGAATTTTAAAAAACAGTTCTTTTTTGTTCCATTTCCATAAAACAATGTCAAAGGTTAGTTGTTATTTGTCAAGCTCAATATTTTATTTAAGTATACAAACTTACATATGAACTGTGTGGTCCATTTTCATGGGTAAAGGAATAGGATAGGTTTTTTTTGAGATCCTCATAAATACATTTTACACCAAAAGAGGTAGGTTCAAAGGAGATTCAGTGTTGGTATAGTAAAGATGTAATTAAATGCTATTTAAAATGAAAATATTGAAAAGTGACTGACTGTACAGTGATCTTTTGGTATTTATTGAAAAAACTTGTATCCATAATAAAATTCGGAAGCCAAAGTTTTGGTCTGTCTATCAGGGTCAGGATAATTCGCCCCAAGACAGTTCACCCCATTTCAGGGACAGTTTACCCTTTTTTTTAGGATAGTTGACCAGCTAATCTATTATTTACTAACTCTAGGCCTACCAAACCTTTAGTGTAAGTGTAATAAGAGACTTATCAATCAATCAGCCTTTGATTTTACAAACCCTAACCAATCACCATCCTCTGTCCTGAACTGTGGACCATCATATACCATTGTCTTGGTCAGATGCCGCATGTTCTCTATTGGACTCAGATCAGGGCTCCTTGCTGGCCAATCTATTGGTTTGATGTCATTGCTTTTAAAGGCCCTTTTCATTTTTCTTCCAGTGTGACAGCCAGCATTGTCTTGCTGGAAGATTTACTGCCTGCCCATTTTTGCCTCAATTTCTTCTATGACAGGCAGAACATCTTCCACAATGAAGGAGCTATAGTTTTCAGCATTCAACTTGCTCCTTATCCTCCAGACTTCAAATATGCCATCAGAGGTTATCAACCCCCACACCAATACTCCACCTCTCCCCATATTTTTTTGACCCTGAAGTCCTTTTTGCTGTTGCTGGTCCAAGTCCCAAAATCGTCAGGTCCACTTAGCAAAAACCTAGCCTCATCAGTAAAAATAACCCTAGACCAATCTAGATTTTCGCTAATAACTTTGAGGCAGTATGCTTTTCTGCATTTACAGTCTTTGGAGGTGAGATGAGTTCTTTGTCTGACTCTTTTTATTTGAAATTTTGTCTTTTCAGCTCAATCTGTATTGTTCTTACACTTACATCTACTTCTAATTCCTTTAATATCTTTGCTGCTGTCACTCTTTGCTTGTTATCTTTCAGTTTCTTTATATTTCTTTTCATCCTGTCGGAAAGCTTCTTCAGACCTCCCCTATTGTCTTGTTCTGGCTGCTTGTACTTCAATATGTTACTAACTGATGATGGTGCCATTCCTAAAACTCTTGCTGTTACCCTTTATTTCCTTATTTTGCTATATTTCTTGATTACCAAATCCCTTATATCTTGACTCCAAACCATAATTAAAAAAATACAATATAAATTATGTACAGTAATTTTTAATATTCAATAACTAATTAAGTTAACTTAAAACAGGAAAAAAGTTGAAAAATTTTTTGTTTGAGACATCTATTTGAATGTCAAACCAGATGTCAACTCAATGTTCCAATAAACATGTCACGTGGCCAAATAAAGAAAAAAGTTATGAAAATTATTAAAAATTTTTGCTAATAATGTTCACAAAATATTATCATTTTCTTAAATTTTTTTCAATATTATGTCAATTTAACTCTTTTTCTACATAAATTTAGACAAAAAATACTAATTTGCAGAGGACAAACAATTTTAACTGTTAATTAAAAATTGGCCTATCAAAATTTATGGCATCCATATATACATGTCGTCCACTTTATCTGAAACATTGTTATATCACTGTATTCTTTGAGAATAGAAAAGTGAACAATGTTAATGAAGTTATACTCTCAACTCTAAAATCATCACTCACTGTGCTGTATGTAACAAATTGACCTATTTTTACATAATACATTCTTTCTTCTCTCTCTCTTTCTCTCTTTTGTTTATACACATTTATTGATAAAATATGATTTTTTATGAAATGTAATCTATAATGAGATTATTTCTTTAATAAAATTATGCAGTTTTTACTGATTAGATTAAAAGAGGAAGAAAAAATATATTTTATGTTGTAATATGATCTCTTTTCAGGCCTGATTCTATGCAATCTCTTTTTTAGACTTTTCGGGATCTCTACATGGGGTTGGGTGCGAATGTACCTGGGTGCAAATGTACTGAGTGCGAACATATCAGGTACATGTGCACCCTTTTTTTCTTTATTATTTTTATTGATTTTTCATAGAAATAGTTTGGTTAGTGATATATATGTATATATATATAATGATTTGAAAAAGTAAAAATATTTCATCAATGTGAATTATTATTTAAAAAACTAAAATGTTGTTGAAAAGTGAAGTGGTAGCCATTTCAAAAGTGGAAGTGGTAGAAATAAACTTTCACTTTGAAAGGCATATACTTAAAAAAGTCAGTTATATTTTCTGAATGAATTGTGAACAAAGTGCTTCTTAATATATTTTACAGAGGTAAATTTCTAAATACTTTTAAGCAGATTTTTGAAGAGGAATATTTTAATTTAATGTATTTTTCTGTAATAGCAAATTATTTCAATATTTGTCATAAATAAAATTTCAGCCATTTTGAATATTTGGAAAGGACATTGATTGAGGTCTCACAATTATTTTTAATAATCAAGTGAATTTGTTCTGATTTTATATCATGGATTTGAAAAGTAATAATTCTACTAAATGATGGATACTCTTTTGTTGTTAAACATAAAACACTTACAAGTACAATTTGGGTATTCAGTTTGAGAAGTAAGAAGAAAAAATGTGTAGCTACAATAAGACAAAATGGAAGTATATTTATTAAAGGCAATCTGGAACATAATCCTAAAAGAAGAGATAATTTAGAAGTAGATGTTAAAGTAAACACAGATTTGAAAACTATTTGCAAAAGTGATAACAAAACATCTGGAAGAAGCATTGCTGAAAATGTTCTTTTATCATATGAACCTAATGCTAAATGTCTTCCTGATATCAATAACTTAAAAAGAGTGGCAAACTCAAATAGACAAAAATTTAGGCCAGTTGAATCAAAAGTGTATAATTTCAATTTGAACACAACTTTTTTACCTGATGAATTTCTTCAGAAAGATATTTGTGAAAATGGAGAAAGAATTTTAATTTTTGCAACAACCCACCAGCTGGACCTATTATCAAAATCCCACTAATGGTATATTCATGGCACTTTTAAAATTGTCAAAGAACGCTTTTATCAGCTTGTCACTGTTCATTCTTTTGTTAAAAAGAGTGGTGATATGAAGCAAGTACCTCTTGTTTTCATTTTCTTAACTTCAAAGCATACCAATGCATATACACAAGCTTTTCAGGTGAATATTTCTTATTTTCTCCACAAGAATGTTGATGAAATATAATTGTGTTTGCAGCATATCAACAGTCTGAT